CTGGTAAAAATAAATCTGCATGTACAATGATAGAGTCACAAAACACTGACAGGATCATAAATGCAGGAATAGGGGTGATTTTGTTCCCTTTTCTTTGGGAAATACAATGTAAAAGGAATTGTTCATAGCACAGAATAGAAAACTCTTGCTGGCAGTGACTATGGGATTGCTTTGGTCCCTTCTAAACACATGCAATAACCTCAGAGAACCGCAGGTTTACACAGATTTAAGGGGCCCCCTTGCAGGGCTGAAGAGGCAGCCCTGGGGTAGCTATCACATAGCCATTTCCAAAACCTGAGCAGCAGCATCCCCCACTGTCCCTTTCTGGCAAACCAGGTTTAGAGGCAGAGGCCCCGAGCTGGCCGGGACCGTGCTGCTAGAGGACTTGCGTCCCGCTTTCTGCAAAACACCGTGCTGAGAGGTCCGGTTTGATGGCTTTGCACTGAGCCAGCCTGGACTGCTTTGCTCTCTAGTGGCAGTGCAGGGAAAAAGAATACAAAGATACCAGAGTAGATCCCTTCTGCGCAGGGCCTAGGTTGTTTTATCTTTTTAGCTTTTTTTTTTCCTCTCTCTAAATTATCTCAGGGGAAATATGACCTTTTTAAAGAAGTGCCAATATCTTCATGTCTAAAGCTACTTGGAAGAAATCCTTGCTGTGTATTTGGGATTCAGACAATAGAAGCCCTCGTTAGGATTGCCAACTGACACGAACAAAAAAGGGGGACTTTGCCTCTTTATTTAGAGATTAGGTCAAAGAGCTAAAAATCATGATTCTTGTGACCTTGCCAGGGTATCTGCTTACTTTTGTACAAGCAGAGTCTCAACAAGTGCAAAATTAAAACTGCATAATTTGGAGTGGTATTTTTCTCCAGACATACATTTTCTCCCAAACACAGGTGCACGTTTCCTACCTGGGACCATCTTTGTGCTTCATGGAAACATTTCATATGCTTAGAGTAGTGTTCAAAGTGTTGAAAGATGAACAGCAGAGTCTGTTACACACCTGGGCTTCTTGTTCTCTAAGCCTTCTTGGATTTTTTCAATTGCCAACCCCTGAAAACTCTTTTTCTCTCTTTCTCCTTTTCTTGTCTGGTTGGCTTTCACTCCCATCTTCACAGGTCTGTCTTCTCTTTCTGTCTGTTTGGTTTTTGTTTCCTGGGAAGGGCCTGCAAACCTTTCCATGCAATAGTATTATTAGTTAGGTAAAGTCATGATAAACTTGAATCACAGCTAACTCATTTTACCTTCTTGCCTCTGACAAGCTCTCCAGTTGTTCAAGGCATAGGAGTGAGTCTACCTTGATTTCTGGAGTGACTGCAAGCAAAGCTACAGGCATCTACAAATAAAATGTTGAAGTTAACAGTTAACTGTCTGGAGTAGTAAGTTACTGTGTGACAAATTTATACCTTAGCTCTTAAAAGCAGAGCACTTGGATTGGTTTGCATCATCCCCATTTCGTACAGTCCCCCACCCCAAATTAGACTCCATGAAGCTCTGATGAACTAGGATCTCAGCTAAACTTTTCTGAAGGTGAGAGCTACTGACAGGACAGCTCAGCTGAACAATTTCTATGGGAATCATCGCACAAAGTGCGATGGCAAACCTGTACCAGCCTTACTCTGAACTTTTGCAGAGCTGCAGACTGATGGGTGACCTCGCCTCTTCTTTCAGAGGATTTTAGTCCACAGACAGAATGAAGTCCTTTTGTAAAAGATACAAATGCACAGGACCTTCTCTGAAGAGGACCAACTGTTTCTTGCTTTTGAACACAATTTTCACATGGGGGTATGACATTCAGTTAATTGGAGAAGGCTATTCAGCTGGGAGCATGAGCTCCGAGAGATGCTGGGAAATAGAGCAAAGAAAGGCTTGCCAACTTCATTCTGCCAGGATCTTCTGTTCTCCCAAGAAATATTTCTGTGGATATCCCTTTGGCAGCAGTACCACCCTCTGAGGTGGGAGGCTTTTCTTTTGAAATCTGTCTTTTCCTGTGTGATGTCTCGTAGGTATTTCCTTTGATTCAGCACATGCCTAACGCACCTGACAAAGAATCTTTCCATTTTTCCTTATGATGTATCATTCTGGGGGAAAAATACCCACCGAAACACACAACAGATCTAATGCCAGCAAGAGGCACTACTTGTACTCTGTTTCTGCTGGATCCTGTGTCCATAGTGGAGAGAGTTATGTCTCAACATAGGAATTTCTAGCTAAGAGAAGAAAAGCCACTGCTTATGCAGAAGCAAGGACTAGCCTGCTTTTTGCAGACACAGTAGACACTGGAGCAGATTTCTTTTCTACGCCTGGTGAGGAGAAGACCCTGTACATTTCAGCTTCAGCTTTACGTCAGAAACTACCCTCATGCATGAGACAGGTTGTTACAGCGTTGGTGGACCCGACATACCTCTGCTGTTTCATTTTCCCTGCTCCTTGGAAAAGAGAGGGTGGAGCGACCTGAAATGCTTCAGCTTGATGCTCCCTATCTGCTTCTGCGGCATGGCCACTTTGCTCTTCCAAATGCACTTCTAGAAAGCAAAGCCTGTGCAGCAAAGTGACTTCTTGGAAGTGAAAAACAACTAAAGCAAAACCCATCCGAAGCCCTATACCTGTTTTTTGCTATGTCTGCTGCACTGAATGGAAAGAATCTGGAAAAGGACATCTCAGCCAGCAGGTTTCAGAAGTCAGAGCCGAGGCCCTCAGGCTTCAGTTCATCTTGAAGAGTAAACCATTCCTGCCCTGAGAGGCAGTGGCCAAACAGAGGCCATGGGACAAGAGGGGCTGAACAACACTCTATGTCCAGCCCTGCCAAAAATGTTGTCGAGGTAAGAGCACTGCTCTCAAAGCATCTGCTTGATGGGCAAGTGAACGGCAGATGCAGAATAGTGGCCATGATGTTTTCTTTGTGAATCCTGTTACTCTGAATGTGTGGGAAGTCTTCCAGAAGGAAAACCCTGCTGTCAAGTCTCAAGCCCTCAGCAGCTCTATTTGCACAGGTGCCCACCAGGAACACTCTAAAGAACAGGACCAGAAGCCTCAGCCTGCAACGGTCCTCAGTCCATCCTCATACTTGCGGAGCTGGCAACAGGTCGTGGTAACTCCTTGGCTGAGGGACTGAGAGGGCCAACCACCTTCTCCCCAAAGATTTCCCTGCAGTCCTCTATGAGAAACTCCACCAGCCCCTTCACCTGCACACATCAGACCATTGGTTTCAACCTTGGTGGCTGAAAACAGACCAAACAGCCTTTCCCATTCCTGACCCTTGCTTTTGCACAGAAAGCTGCAGCTGTGGCACTGCTCTTCCAGGAAGCTACTCCACAAGCATTTGCTTAAGAGAGCAGGCAGCAAGGTACCTCTGAACAGCAAAGCTTTGATGGGCCCACAAGGCTGTAGCTCACTGATGAATACAGCGTACCTTCTCAGTCACCTCCACCAGCACTTTCAGTGGGAGCAGGTGGTCCTTGGCTGGGATCAGTAGATTTGGCCTAATGCAGATGGCAAGGTTGCTGGCATTCATCCTGCTGGTTGCAGAATTTTGGCCAATGTTGTGGAGCAGGGAGAGCAACCATTTGAGGAGGAGTAAGAGGCTGGCTGCAGGCAACCTGTTGGCCACCTTGAGGGAACAGGAACATAACATTAATAAATTATATGTTGCCAACACGTCACCCAGGTTTTCCTAAGGCAGGTGGATGCCAGCAGCGGTGTTGCATAGCCTTCCAGGTGCCCTAAGCCAGTTTTCAATGCTCCTGCACTTCAGGAAGGCAGCACGGCATTGCTTTCCAGGTCCTGATTTCACCCAAGCCCACCTCAAAGGTAGGATCCCTGGCCATGCCTGGTCTACAGCAGAAGGACAACCTTCGCTGAGATACTGTCACCTCTTTCCCCTCCTGACAAGAGCAATCTCCAGTGCCTTCAGGAAGCATTCCAGCTAGAGAAATGCTTCTCTGTGCCACTGTCCCCTGAGGTTCACCTTCAGGATGATGGCCAGCAGGTTTACAGGCTGGCTTCCCAGGTGGACACCCCCACCACTGTTGAAGGCTTCCCTCAGCTCCCAACAGGCTGTCCTGGCCACAAGCCTGAATATCCCCTTGGTGGATGGTCCATGCTCCTGGAGGATAGCCAGCAGGTCCTGCAGGGGACACAGGAGGACAGTTGCTTGGCTGAAGACAGGCCCTGGGGCAGGTGAACCTTCCTCAGATACAGGAGCATGAGTGGACAGCTCTGCTTTCCCTGGGGCGGCATTGAGGGGTGGGTGCAGGTAGGAGATGTGGGACATGGGGAGGAGACAGCTTTGGCCCCAACCCTCACTCGCTTGGACTGGTGAACCCAGGGTTCTCTCAGGAGAAGCCAGAGGGATGGGATTCTCTCAGCAGGTTTGCTTACCTGGAGGGGCTGGGGCAGTGGGCTGTGCTCCTGCAGAGAGCTGCCAGGGGCTGGCCAAAGAGAGCCCCTCTGCAGCCGGACCCTGACTGCCTGGGCACTTCTGAGGCAGCCACGGTCCCCCACAGTGCAAAGGGCCTGGGACAACTGTCTCCTCCTCCTCCTGGTCCCACCTGCTGCAAAGGAAACAGAGCAAAAACCCGTGGGTGACAACCACCAGGCAAGCCCTCTCAGACCCTCTCAGCACTGCCCCCCTGCCACTGAGTGCAAAGGAGAGACATGGTTTGAGAACGAGGGGTCCCTGAGGACTCTGCTTCCTCCTGCTGCAGAACGATGAGGACGGACGAGCCCTGTGGGAAGGGCAGCAGCAGCCCCAGTGCAGCAGAAGTGCCCACCTGCAAGGAGAGGAAAGGCCCTTCCCACCTGTCTTCTCAAAACTTGCCTGCCAAGTGGCCAACTCCACCATCATTGCCAGATGGGACCAGCGGAGGCCACTGCTTGGGACCAGCCTGAAACACGCTGCGCTTACTGGGCAGCCCCGCAGCAGAAAGGACCACCAGCGAGCTGCATCAGCCACCTGGCAAGCTGTGAGAGGTAGGGATGGCCAAGACTGGCAAGCGGGGATGTGCCTGCTGACCAAGGATGTGCCCAGCAGGCCACGACTCCGCAGTACGTCCATGTCTCTCTTGTACTGAGGCTTAAGTGTTGTCTGGTCTGATCCTGTTGTACCTGATCTAACCTGATCCTCTGTCACTAAGGGTACATCTCCTTTGCTCCAGACTCTCCCCCGGTCTTCAGGGCATGGGATTTCTGAAGGCTGGTCTTGCTAGGGCCATCATTCCCCAGGATGACTGGCAGCATCTAGATCAGCCTGAAGTACTGGCATAGCCTCGTGAAGGCCAAGAGAGTTTTAAGTCAGAGCAAAATAAGTTCACAAATGTATGATGGGTTCTCGCGGCAATAGGGAACTGGGCGTTGTAACTGTTTGACTTGCCTTGCCCTGTGTTCGATCCTGTCTTCCAGTGTTCAGCAGAGATGGTCTTTCACAAAATACTGGAAAGGAAACTAGTAACGTAATGGGCTGTAATGCCATGTTTTGTTGACTTCCATATGTCAACAGATTTAGTTGAATTTTCACATAAGACAATACTTGGAGACAAAGGCCAGAACTTTTATATGGCGCTGCCTGTCATGGAAGTTTTAGAAACGTAAGGGGAAAATCCATATTTTTTATTGTATATACTGCACTTCCCTACAAGCTATTAAAAGGCATTCAAACAGTCTCATTTTTCATTTGAATGTCACACCTCTTCATATTGTTGATGTTATGCATAACATCAGATCAGGTTTTACTCTCACATAGATTATTAGATAGTAGATAGCATAGATTATCCGAGAGTAGATAGTAGATTATCTGCATTAATTGTGCTAATATCAGTGACAGGAGTTTGCATTTAGCACCTCAGCCAAAGGATAAAGATCCAATCTATCTATCTATTGAGCTGAGTGGGCTATTGATCGGCAGATTTAATTCACCATGTTAAAAAAAACAGTTATATGAGAAAGGCATATTCTATCTTTTCTACTACAATGCATGTTTTAGGAGTTGAAAAGATAAGGAATTCCCCCCCCCTCCCCCCCCCAAAAAAAAAAAGAGAAAAAAAGATTCAACTTCTAGAGCAATGGGGCTTTTATTCACCAAGCAAATTTCCCTATATTATTCCCATTCAATACGCCACTTTTTCTGACATTCTGCCTCTAGCCGGTACCAATATGGGACTCTTCCAGGAAAAAATTAAACAAACCAAAAACTTGTACTGCTGGTTTCCCATCCTGTGCTATGGAAGATGTAGAAATCCTCTCTAATCCAGAATTTTTCACTAACATCCAAAAACATACAGCACATTTTTACTTGACAATGTACAGGATCTTATCTCATGCACAGAAAAACCTGTGACAACAGACAGAGTGGTTGGCAACTCTGCTTCAAAGTCAAGAAAGTCCGTGATTAAGATTCCCTGTGCAGCCTTCATGAAGCTCCTTTCTGTGCACTTACGATGTTGTCTCTCATTACAGGCTCATATACAGCTCTCTTCAAAGGGCACAAGTGCACTCTGTGCCTCGGATGAGCAGTGATCGCTGACAGAGGAATTACTTCATGTTTTGCGCTTTCTGTATTGCTCAGTGTGCATCGCACACTTACTGCATCACCCCAGATCAGAGAGCATCTTTTCACTGCCCATTCCAGTCTGTTCTCCTCTGCACCAGGTTTCTTATCTCATCCATCCCTGGCCTCACCTTCTAGTCTTCTCATCTTAGTCTCAGTTTTCTCAGCCAGGCTCAGCCTTATCTGATCTCCAGCTCCCATATGCCCATTCCAGGTTGACTGACATTGCAGTTGCTTTTGCAGATGGAGCCTTTGTTAACGTAGTCAAGCTAGCTTTAAACTAATTAACATAGCTAGCAGTAAGAGTGAAACCGGGACTGAAAACCTGCTATGACACTGAGTAAATACTAAGTAGCCACCTTGGGCCAAAGCCCATGTCACCACCATGTTCAATGCTAATATGGCACTGCAATGTCTGCGGGCTGCCTCTCCCATTTCCAGTGCCAACTGCTCCCAGCCTCACTCTCCACGTCTATTTTCTCTTTCAATGATCAAATCTGCTTCAGTCTCCTTTGCATACAAACTGGGGATTTCTTTTTCTTCAGTGCTGTCTGGATGTCATCATAGGAGGTCCTGAGACACCCTTTTCTAGACAGCAGCAGAAATGGCAGTAATATTGCTATTCACCTCTGTGTCTCCAAAACAGTGCTGGTTTCCTTTTATAACAGGGTTTCCATTTTGTCTCAAGACCAGAAATGTTGACCTGCTCAGTCTAGGTAACATTCGCACATGCTGGGCCCCAGACACTAGCTAAAAGTCAAAACCCAGGCTGTTGTGTGACCTTGCCTTGACATTTTGTGGAATGCCAACGCAGAAAGGAGATGCTTGCAAGAGCCCATCCACCAGAGGAGAAGAGCTCTATCTCAGACTGGTTCCAAGGCTACAGCTCTGAGCATCACCAAGCTAACAAACATGTGCAGGGGCCTTCTGCAAAAATGCAGTGCAAATGGGAAAGCTCGGTGCAAATGAACACATGATAATCAACATCACTGCAGTAAATGCTTGTATTCAGAATGACATACAGAAACTCATTTTATGTTTGCTTACCCAGGATTTACTGTGTCAAAAATAATACCAAAATACCATATTTTCTTCAGCTTTTTCATAAACTTTCATTTCAGTCTCCAGCTTTTATTACTTTGCAATTAGTCATGCATGCTGCTTTCATAAAAGCTATATCCAGGGAGAAAAACTCCCTAAATAATCCCTCAGAAGGCATCTGGCAACCACCTCAGATGATTAAACAGTGATTAAGTAGCTGCCTAAAACTGAGAAATAAGATGCTGCTCTGCGGCCCCTGAAGTTTTCTGGTAAAGAGCTGAGACTTGTGTTATCCCTATTACCCAGGGAAGATATCAATCCGCTGCATGGTGCACGGTGGAAATAAGACTCCACATTTCCCTTATCTTCCTGTCTTGCAAATGCGAAGTATGTCTGGCTCCGTGTTTTATTGCTTTCACCCTCACCCTGTAAGAAGCCCTCAGGCCTTATGCCTCTTCCCTGCCATGTGCTACTGCGCAGCTGGGGCCAACACAATTCAAGGAGAAGCTACTACCCTGGTGGGTTGCCTGAGCCCGTTCTCACCAGAAGACTTACTTGAAAAATTTCCATCAATCTGTTTATCAGATTTGGGATTCAATTAGCACTTTGAAGTATCTGCTTCACTCAAAACTGGGTTTTGTTTGTTTATGTTTTCCTTGTGGTTAGAAAAGTTTTTGGCAGGATTCAGCCAAGCTTTGGGGGAAATTTTTCAGAAGCTTCTAGCCAGATATACATACATATGTCTAAACCTGATGGTTTGGTTTTTTTTTTTTTTTCAGGAGGAAACTGATAATGACTTTTGCATTCAGCAAGACACTGCGTGGGTTGAGGGTATGGGGCTTTCCCAGCATTTTTTATTCCCACAAAATATATTTTTCTGCATCTCTAATTTGCAAGTTGATATGCTGTTAACTGTATTGAGATTGCTGTTGTTCGCTCCAATTTGTGCTTGACCTGATGTATGCGGCTGGGTCTCCCGGTTCTCCCCTGTCAAACCCAGCAGGACTCTGTCAGGGACTGTCAGCGTGGGTTCCAGCTGCACAGATAAGGCAATGAGTGAGATCAGAAACTTCTTCACACGGGAAATGCAGGGTCTACCTAAGACTAACCAACCCATACTTAACGAATGGTATGATACAAAACCTCCTATGTCTCATGAAACCACATTTCTTCCTTTCCAAATTTTGGGGGTCCAGCTGACAAAAAGAACCACCACCAGACATAAAAAGAAGATAAAAGTAACTAGAGCCAGCTGTGTGCATGCAGTCATGATATGCCGGGGAGGCTGGGAGCTATCTGCAAGGACTTTTCTAGCTATGATGTAGTTAGTATTGATGTTTCAACAGCTCCTTGACATATATTAGGAAGTTTTAACTTACTACTGAAAGTGTATTAAATGCTATGAGGTAGTAGTTATTTAATAACTGCATGATGTGAGAGGCTATTTATGATCTCAGGCACAAGGTAATACAGACAGAATTATATACTTACCCAGCAAAGGAATTCTGCTAACAGTTAAATGCTCAAGTATCCGTTTATGGTTTTCAAAGTTCTGTCTATTTACTGGCAATTAGTTTTTTAATTGCTAAACATTAGCTAGCTGTTTTCACACGATGAACTCCCCCTGCAGGGAGATTAAAGGTTTCGCACACAATAGGACAGAAAATTGAAACACAACATATACTGAGGACACCATTCATTTATAGCAATCTCAGACTCAGTTTCTTTAATTCCCTGTGCATGAGCTTTATCTATGCAGGTTGTTCCTGTCTTTAAACAAGCAAAACATTGATCTGAGAAGGAAGCAATAAAGAAGAAGTAATCACATTTCAATGGCCATGGAATGCGAAAGATTTACATACGCTCTGTAATCAGACATCAAGCACCTAAAAGCCAAATAAATAAGCTTCCTATACCATTTTGGCTGATTGTTCTGTTTTTAATCTGGGTGGACTTCATCAGGAAAATCCTTGTGGCCTTGGTTTCTCTGCTGAACTCAGGAACAAAAATGCTATACCGCAGCCAATTATAACTGTGACTTTTTCCATGGCTACCAAACCTGCTAGGCCACTAGACACAGGTCAGCAACATCTACTTGATAGCATTTAGGTGAGTGTAACTGATAGGAAAATATTCTCAGGCATGTGTGCTCGCTCTCTCAAGAAATCTTATTTCCTTATTCTCATCTGGGACGAGGATGATGCTTGCTTGCTGCTGTGCCTTCTGCGCCTCAGGCCAGGGGGACAGCGAGCAGACACATCCAGTGGGCAGGGGGAGGCAGGTAGGCTGTGAGACAGGCAGCAAGCGGGGACGCTGGGGTCAGGGGCATGGCCAGGGACTGTCACTTCAGCAGTGACTTCTACGGGTTTCATGGGAGAAAGGGGCTCCATGGTTTCCAGACAGGTTGAATGAATTAGCCTGAGTTTAGTTCAGTTCCTTTGTGGAACCTACCTTCAAAGAG